TGAATTGATGTACCAGGAATGTCTCCAAGGCATGATCGAGTTCATTCCTGCATTCCTTCAATCTTGCAGCATTTTCCGACTGCTTGAATAACTGCTTGATCTTCCTCATCCTTCCTTGGCTCTTCAGAACTGTCAACAATTTTTGAAGAGTGCTATTATAATATCTCAGTGCATACCGGGCCTCAGGAAGAGACAGAACCTTGTCTTACTTTGCGAATTTTCCTATGTCATACAGCAGCGCAGTGGGAAGAACCCCTTTGGTGTCAGATACGGAGTAGAGCTTCAAAATGATGCAAAGGATTTCATGTATTTGCTCCACCATTTGGAAACATTCATTGTTGTTTAAATGATCCGCCTGTGTCTGGTCAACGACCGTGTGTCAAATATCTGGTTCGACCTACCTCGACACATCCAAGGATTGACAAAGTCAATGCAGAAGTAGATCCCAGGAAAGGTACCTCGGCCATGCCAGCAATTTCCTGTGCCGTCATGGCTGCAAGAGAAGTATATGTGATGAGATCCTTGAACTTTGTAGACAGTCACTGCATTCCAAGGCCCCCTAGACTCAGCTGAGTCTAGGTGTTCTAGACATACCTATACACAGATCTGTGCCTAGGTAACTAGACAGAGTCTGTGTAGGTCTGTTTAGGCTCTTTGTAGCTCTGTCTAGGTCAGACTCGGTCTGCCGAGCTCAGTTCGGGTCAGTCTAGGCCAGTATAGTACCTAGACAGACTCACCATCTACTTGTTGCGTCAAAATAAGTTGCTAAACATCCTCCCACAATGTATAGAAGTATTTTGAGTCATCGGAAGTAGCACATAAACTCGAATCTGGAAGCAAGATCTAATCACAAATTTAAAATGAATGATTAATGGTATCGTCCATCCGGCTTCCGTCCGACTTAAATGGAGTTACACCGATGTTTCCACACCTGTTCAAATTCAATACAGACGAGTTCTAATTGGCTATATAACATTAGCAACTCCCTTGCCGCATAGCAGACACTTGCATCATGAGTCATGGACTAGTTGTGGAAACACCCGGTACATGTACTGGGCAGGTGGAAGAGGAGGAACGAAGGAGGAACCATGTACTTGAGCCAAAAGGAGGACCTAAATGAACTCCGAGCGACAAGCCGCAAGCGAATGTTGTGGCTGGCGTTGTTGTGGCATCTTTGTCGTCTCACGTGCGATGCGCCGGCAGCAGGATCAACGTTGATGCGCTGATGATCAACTGAACCCCCTATAAGGATTTTGGAGCGAAAGGCATAAAAGTATGTCTGTTTTGCTCTGACTAGGCACCTACACTCACCCAAACTAACCTAGACTGACTTACACTTGGCTAGACAGAGACACCCGAACACACCTACACAGAGGCTACACAGAGTTGGAGACTCCTAGGCAAAATATCCGTCTAGGACCCTACACAGGGTCTGCCTAGGGACCAAACACACCTAGACTGACCCTAGACAAAGTTAGGCTCACTGAGTCTAGGGGGCCTTGGAATGCAGTGAGTTGCATTGGGGCCATTCTCAAGTGTGATGGAGGAGGAGGAGGAGGAGGGTGTATTACTGCGGTGGTCCCTAAAAGGAACGGACCACCCAGGGATGCTGTGCCTATATCTGGACTTCCACAAATAGGACTCTCATATCAATCAAGAAGTAGCGGTCAATTCCGGACAGGGCGGAAGAATTCCAGTGGGTTGCGAACACTATTTTTAGTGTGGCATGAACCCAGAAACATGGCACGGTACTTCTGATTTATGAAGATGCACAGAATAAGTACAAACTCAAGGATAAGGCCAGACTGCACAAGTTCAAAGCTAGTTGCTGACACTGCAGTTGCTCATCAGAGAGCATCGGCCGACAATCAGGGAGAGGGAGGACCTTGAACCTATTTAATTGCTGGTTCGCACACCCAGTAAGATTTTTATCAGCTTGAGAAAGGCGGGAGAAGAGTATATGCTATTCGAAGATGGTCGACCTTGGCTGAACGAATACATATCAATGGCCATGTCTCCTGCATCCAACTGTCGTACAGCAGAAACGGCTTGCGAGGAGGAAGCGCGGCGCAACGATAAATATAATGAGCTGACAGAGAGAGCAAAAGAAGAAACGAGCAAAGATTCGGGAACGGTACTTCTGATTTATGAAGATGCACAGAATAAGTACGAACTCTAGTCTCGTTACCAGACGTTCTGCCCGAATCAGCCCTGCGGGCCGCCAGACCGTCGGAGTTTGAACAATGTAAGGCAGAGATTCGGTCAGAACTTCGCACACCTGAACAAGATTTTTATCAGCTTGAGAAAGGTAAGAGAAGAGTATATGCTATTCGAAGATAGTCGACCTTTGGCTGAACGAATACATATCAAGGGCCATGTCTCCTGCATCGAACTGTCATGCAGCAGAAACGGCTTGCGAGGAGGAAGCGCGGTGCAACGATAAATATAACGAGCTGACAAAGAGAGCAAAAGAAGAAACAGGCAAAGATTCGGGACACCCTACATAGTATCTGCGACAGCGTCCGCGCTCAATCCGCGCCGCAACCATCAGCGGACAAACAACGGCGACGCCCCCAAGGCACTCCCCGACTCCGGCACCCCTCTCCACAGTACTCCATTCTCGCAAGCGCCACCGACGAGGAATCGCGCCCATGCGTGTGCTCATGAAGCCCTTGGGCAGCAGCGGCCGCGCATCCATGACGCGCGCAGGTCGTCGAATCCAACGGTCGACCGCGTCCTCGTGCGCCTGCAGCCCCCGGCGGAATCGACGATGTCATGGCGAGGCGCCGCGCCGCGCGGACGGAAGATCTGCAGCTGAAGTCCGCCTAGGCGTACCCGCATCTTCTGACGCCCACGCCCGCTACGGCACGTCGCATTTCCGCCTAGGCCTATCCTGAAGCACCAGCAGCAGCAGTCGGCCTTCTCTACCTACTCTCGCGCATCTACGCCCACAGCGAACACGCGCATGGCGTGCGCAGGGTCACAAGCGCGCCTGAGATTACAACGACGAGGAAGGCGGAGCCACCACAGCCGCCCATAACGGCGAGGTCGCGCGCGCGCCACCAGCGCCGCCTTGGTCCTGCCCGGGTAGCGGGGCATGATAGCAAGAATCGCGACGGGCGACGCTGGCACAGAGTCGCGCGCACACATCCGAGACAATACGGGACGGATAGCAGACACCGCCGTCCCAAAACGAGCTCCATCTGTCCCCGCACGCGGAAGTCCGCCAGCCCACATAATCGGAGTCAAAGGACAGTTACGCCGCGACAGGACCTCTCGCGCTAGTGGGCCCACGCGGTAGTAGGCACCGCGATGATGTGCCCACATGAAGACAGGGCGGCCGGCGCATGGGCACGAAGACAGTAGCGCACGATTCGCGCCGCCCCTCTCCGCCGTGTCGCGCGGTCTCTCTCGCGCGGGATGCGCATCTGCGCGCGGGGCCTGTTAGGCTCTGGCGGCAGCGGGGAGGGACGAAGAAACAGAAGGAGAATGACTCGGAGGAGGAAGATAAGGGCGCCCCCGTCAATACAAGATATGTTCGTGAACGCTGGCGGCGGCGGGAGCTTCATCCATGCCTGGCGCGCCGCATCGAGCAGCCAAACACACGTCACGCCGGCCGGCACGATGGGGAGCAGGACCGAGGCGGAGGTGATGCGCTGCGGATTTACGCGGGTTGAGTAGGTATAATTTATGCCCACTCGGACCGCGTAATTAAAACGCGTTAGCGATGCATGTCCGATATATAAATGCGAGAATACACACACGCCGCAGGACTCGCGCAGGTGCGGGTACTGTACAAGCCAGCGCCGTGGGGGTGATGGGCGTCCGACGCGGGAATGCGCGAGGCGGTATAACGTAGCGAATGCCGCTTGTCGATGGCATTGGGCGGGACATGTACGAAGAACGGAAAACTACGATGAGTATGAGACCCGGTATGGAAGTGTGGGTGAGGAAATACGGGCATACCTCTCTCCCACCGGCCGGTGCGGTGTCTCGAGCGGGAGGTCCGCGCCCGTGTCCGCGTGTGGGCCGGCTGGCAGTGGAGTCAATCTGCCGCCGTCGCCGACGAGGACGACGAGGTACTGTGCACAAGCTACAACAAGCCCCGCTTCCTCGACCACAGACCCAACACCATCGCCACCGCAACAGGCTGCGCGTAGGCCGCGGGCGTGTCGATCGTCTTCGGCGCAGGACCACCATCAGCTGCTGCCGTGTCGACTGCGGGCGCATCGTCCGCGTGGTGCGGCGCCGGTGCGTCATCCGTGCGATGCGGCGCCTGCGCGTCGACTTTAGGCGCGTCGGGCACGTCGACGCCGCCCGCAGGCTCTTAGGGCTTTACGGGCGCTTCGTCCTCGTCCGCTTTCTCCGCGGCTCCTACACGGGGGAAAGTAGCGTCAGCGGGGAAATCATAAGAGAGCGGGTCAGGCGGGAAGGTTGATGGGAAAGGGGAGTGTGCATACGAAATGAAAGGCGAAGAGCGAAATAATATAAAAAATAACAAAATGAAATGGGAATAAATTGAAAAAGAGCGAAGTGAGAATGACAAGAGCGACGCGGAAAGAACGCGCGCGGGTGAGGAGGGAAGGACGGACGGTCCACATAGAATACAATACAAGATAAACGGCGGCGAGAGAGAGAAGTAAATAGATAGATAATGGATAGGCGCGGCTGCCTACCTGAGTCCGCGTCCAATGCGGAGGGGCTCTTGAAGCTCAGTGTGGGGCTCTTGATGGACGCCGTGGGGCCCTTTGTCGTCGGGGCTGCAGCACGATAAGCAGGAAGTCAGGAAGAGTTTAAACGTTCTTGGTGCGGGCAGGACGTGATGCGCTCAGGGTTCCCACGGTAGACGTGATCGGCCGCCTATTGTGCTTCAAGTTGAGTTTTCGTTTATAGCGGGCTTTGTGCTTTGTGACGGATTATAAATTATAAGCTGGCAGTCCGTATCTTTTTCTAAGTAAAGGAAAGAACAAAAAAAAATTCGTTGGACTAATCCACCTATACGCATCGGCCGGGAATCGAACCCGAGTCCCTCCCTGTATAAATTATATTCATTGCGCTCACAGTAAAGAGGCGTGCACCGTGCACCACCGATGCGTATTTCCCTTCCTTCTAAGCTGATAATCATCCAGACTTTTGGTTGGATTTTTCAACAACAAAAAGGAGAGCAAGAGATATCTATACATCGGCGGGGAGTCGAACCCCGTCCTCCTCCTTTCAACTGACTGGCCGAACCAGTGTAAGGAAGTGTGCATCACACACCACCGATGCTTTCATTCCCTTCTTCTCAACTGAATAAGCTGCCAACTTGTGTTCGTTTACAAAAGAAATGAACGGCGAACCCTTTTTGGATTGGCAGAGGAATCCAACCCTTTCACTTCACTGGGGTATCCCATAGTAAAAAGGCATGCACCATACACCACCAATGCTTTCTTCCTTCTCACCTCGTTAATGCTCCAACTTTTGGTTGAATTTCGTTTTAAAAAAGGTAATAATTGGGTCGAAAGTATCGGTGGGGAATCGAACCCCGTCCTCTCCTACTATCAAGTTTACACTGGGGTGCGATAGATCAGGAAGGTGTGCGCCATGCACCACCGATGCTTTATCCTTTTAACCTGATAAACCTCCCCACTTATTTGTTGAATTCCACAAAAGACGCTGTTGCTCTTCATGCCCGGAGGAATAAAACGAGTTTCCTGCGACACTTCAATGCGCCGGAGGGGTCCCTAATTTTGGCTCCCAGCTCCCACTAGTATCTCAAGTCATCTATTGCGAAATTTGAACAAAAAAAAATGAATACGCGTCAACGTATCCTCATGCATTGGCGGGGAATCGAACCCCGGCCGCTTCCTTATGCATTCCCGCCTCGCCAAGTAATTTAATGGAAGCGTGCGCCGTGCACCACCGATGCTTTAATTCCCTTTTCTTCTAAGCTGCTAAGCATCCCAATCTGTAGGGATTTTTAACACAGATAAAAAGCGAGAAACAGTAGGTGCATCGGCAGAGAGTCGCTTTCTTCATCAATTAACCTACAGTTTAAGGAGGTGTGCAGCTTGCACAACCGATGTTTCCACCGATGCTTTAATTTCATTCCTCTCAAACTGCCCAAGATCCCAGCTTTTGTTTGAATTTAATTGCAAAAAAAAGAAGATCTGTGCATTGGCGGAGAATTGAACTCCGTTCTCCTCCTTTCAGCTCGCGTTTCGATAGTTTAAGGAGGCGTGCACTATACACCACCGATGCTTATTTCCCTTCCTTCTAACCACACAAACATCCTATATTTAATTCAATTTCTGGACAAAAATCACCACCGGCTTCAGCTATGTAGTACGTCAGCTTCATTCAGCAGTGAGTTTCAGGAAATGTGCACCATAACTTGTTCGTTGGATTTAGTACCAGGGGGGGGGGAAGAGGGGACAGAAGCCTCGGCGGGTGGTCGAAGCCCGTTCTCCTCCTTTAAACTCTTTTCATCAATTAATCCACAGTTTAAGGAGGGGTGCAGAATGCACAACTGATGCTTTAATAAATCTTTTCTTCTCACCTAGTACTTTGTTCGCTAAAATTGGGTGCAAAGAAATAAAGAGGCGGGGAATCCTCCTCCTTCAAGTTGCAACCTTTGCTCAATGAGCAGTTTGAGGAGGTGTGCATCATGCGCCACTGAGACTTTAATTTCATTCCTCTTAAACTGCCCAAGATCTTAACTTGTTTGTTGAATTTATTTAGTACACAAAAACAGAGAGTGGCGCCGTCTTCATGCATCGACGGGAGTCGAACCCCGTTCTCCTCCTGTCAACTTTTTGTACAAGACCCAAAGGTTAAGGAGGCGTGCACCATGCACCACCGATGCTCGCCCCGCGCATCCATCTAACTTGAATAAGTCACCAACTTTTTACGATTCAAATACTGAATCGGTAGTCCGGGATGTATACTAAATAAATCTGAATCGATCGGCATCAATTTTGGGAGTTGAGTTTCGGGACGAGTAAACAAAAAATGCGGTTGGTGGGGAGCATGTAGGTGCGATTATCATCTGCAGTTTGTAGGAAAAGAACGAAAAAAATCATGCTCGAGTGGGCCACATATCGACCGGGAATCGAACCCCGTTCTCCTCCTTTCAATCTTTTTTGGACAGCTCAGAGTTTAAGAAGGCGTGCACCATGCACCACCGATGCTCATTTCCCTTCTAACCTGATAAAGATCCCCAACTCTTTCGGTAAATTTAGTTACAAAAGAAATCACGAAGTTGACTCGGACCCATGCATCGAACCCCGTTCTCCTCCTTCAGCGACAGCAACCCATTAGCAAGCGAGATGTACACTGTGCACCGCCGATGCTCAAACCTGAATAAATTCCCATCTCCGTGTTACCTGAGCAGGAAAAATAAAGATGGCATTCGGTTACTATGCATCCGCGAGGAATTGAATCCCGTTCTCCTCCTTTCCACATTTTCCGAACCCAAAGCTTAAGGAGTGGGTGACTTCCCGTAAGATTTAAATAATCTCGTGCCATTTCTCGGGGTGCCAGTGATGGGACTGATGGGCAGTATAATCGCGTTTATTTACACTGCGTATGTTTCCTGCAAGCAAAATAATATATTTAGTTGAGCAGATTGAGGAAAATCCCTTGCTTCAGTAGACAGTCGAATGCGAGGAGTTTTGCTCTTACAATGTGCACAGAGAGCTGTTCGAGAGGTAAGGTGCTCTACCTGCGGACTTCTCGCAGGAATCCAATGTAAAAATATACATTTGAGGTCTGTTAAAGGCCAGAAAGGGGTGAATGAGGGCGGAGGACGGTTGCCCGTGTTGTCAAGCTTGATATATTGACTCAGGTGTGTGCATTTGACGCGGTTAGGCGTCGATTGGGGTGGCGGAGAGTTTGTAGCAGGAGTGACCATCAATCATTTCTGTCCCAAACGGATAATCTCGACCTCAAATAATCTATTAGGGGGGGTACATAGGACCCCTCGTCTAGATTTAAGGATATTCGAGTGATGGTAGAATATATTTCGCCACTTTGGGGTGATGGGGTCCTGACAGGTTGCTCGGCATCACGGCAGAAAGTGCGAAAATAATCCCCCAGAATAAAAAAAGCTTACGGGAAGTTACCCAGTGTGATGAATCTATGTACAAACTTCGTATTGTTGAAGTGTGCACCATACACCACCAATGCGTGTTTCCCTTCCTTCTGACCTAATAAACCTCCCGACTTGTTTGTTGAATCTTCGAACCCCGTCTACCTCCTTTCAACTTTCTTCATCAATAAACTTCTGACAGTCTAAGGAGGTGTGCAACATGCACCACTAATGCATTAACTCCTTACCTTCTAACCTGGTAAAGATCACACCTTGTTTGTTAAATGTTTGATGCAAAGAAAACAGTGGAGGTGCTTGTTATACCGGCAGCACCAAGCTCAAGTAAAATAAAGAGTGGCCGCACAAATCTCTCTGCATAGGAAGAGGAAGACGAGGAGGATGTATTAGTGCGGTGGTCCCTAAAAGGAACAAGCAGGTACTGTGCCTACATACATTACGTCCATGTGTACACTACAGTTATCGGCGGTCACGGCACTTTGGTAGCCTATCTACTAGGTAGTAAATAGATGCATCTCACGAATAGACTTGGGCGGCGAGCGTTGCTCTTCTAAGTCGGAGTCCTGAAACAATGGGGCAGTAGTAAGGCATTTTGTTGAAGGGAGCCAAGACCTCGAAGACATTGACAGCTTTTCGCGAAGCAACGAGTCTCAGTAATTATGTCAATGAAAATATTTGGAACTTTGCTGTCAAGAAATTGTCTCCCCCCGTGATTTGGAATTTCTTAACTAGTCCTATTGCCATCACAGGTCTCCGTCAGAATGTTGTTATGTAATTGTCGGAGTTTGAATTCTGGCACGAGTCGTGTTCAGTGAGAAGCGCGTCTTTTCATTTGAATTCTGCGCAGAAGATAGTTTTATATGTCTACATGAGGATCTGCCTCCTCAGAATTGTGATACCGCTTCACTGGCACTTAGGCTAACGTCGCAGGAACTGAAGTGACAGAGTGACTGATGGGTGACCAGTTGTCGCACCCTTGGACTGAAAATTCGTGCTGAGGACAGGAAAAAAATGTGGAAACACTCAAATATCATATGCTTACAGCTGTTTCCGAAAACCTTCACTAATCAGAATTTTTGCCTCTGTCAAATTTTGATCCAATGCTAAGGATTACTCTTTTTGGACTCACCAAGCCCAACTGCCGGCACTCAACTTCTTGAACGAAAATTGTGGAGGCACCAAATCGCAGTTTTGAATCAGAGGACTTGAAGCTGGCGGATTCACAGACAAAGCCTGTGACTTCCACGCCTATTTATTGCTCTATTCGGTGAAACGAAAATTATTAAGGGAAAGCGTGGTTGATCCGAACCCAAAGAGGAAATCCTTAGCACTGGATCAAATTTCCGTGCAGGCAAAAAAAATTGATCAGTCTCAAGGTTTTCGGAAACAGCTGTAAGAATACAGAAGAGGCTTGTGCATAAATTATATCTGTAAGGTAGAAGAATCTCCAGGATGAGACTGTCCTATGAGATTTCAAACTCCGATGATTACATAACAACTTTCTGACCCGATCGGACCCCCACGATCGCTAACAGACTTTAACAAGCGAGGTACGAGCTTCATACTGTTAAAGTGTCTGGCTAGGAGAGACTAATTCTTAACACATTGTAAAAACAAATTGATGTGCAACTAGTTATTGACCACTGATAGGGAATACTTGCCTCACATTTTCACAAGCTGTAGTTCTTGTACACACACTAAACATTGTTGTGAAATGGCCAAATGTATATATGGGACTACATTTGTTTTACCGACTTACATGCTAAATATGATAGTGGAATGACCAAATATATATACTTAGAAGGAGACTACATTTTGGATAGGATATGAACCTGAATTGTGCATGGCACATCAGAAACAGGAGGGTATATGTATCCAGAATTGCAAGGAAAGGGGGAAAGAGAAGTAGAAACAGATTTGATGCCATGATCAGCTGGTGATTTCAACATAGGATTCTTTTGCCTAATGAAGACAGTGGGGTTCTTCATCTTCCTCAATGTGTGCATCC